GGATAGGAAGGTTTTCCAGCCGAGTCAGCACTTCTTTCTGCGCATCTATCTCGTAGAGGTAGCCTGCCAGCACACCTGGGAGAAGGAACGCGGCAGGCATTCAGGCAGTGGACATACAGGCAGATTCACACGACTCAGAGGTCACCTCTTTCTCTGCCTCATCACGTATAGGTACCCCGCCAGCGCCCTGGGAGACGGGGCAAGTAATGGAGAGGTAAAAGAGAGTGGCAGGCGAACGGGCAATCGGGTCATGCTGTTCAGAGCACAGCAGGCGTCAGAGGCGGGGCACATGCACCTCAGGGCACATGCACCTCAGGGCACATGCACCTCCGGACACATGCACCTCAGGGCACATGCACCTCCGGGCACATGCACCTCCGGGCACATGCACCTCGGGGCAGCTGGTCAAGTAAGCAGGGATGGAGCAGGAAGGGCAGGGCACACCTGAGAAAAGGTATGAGCCGAGGGGAGCGGCGGCGAGCAGGGAGTTGTAGAGCAGGCCGAGGCAGCGTCGGCCGAAGAGCTCAGCAGCGATGACAGGCATGACAGAACACAGCCCGCCGTACGTGAAGCCTATGAGCAGCGATCCCAGGTACACGCCGCCTGGTGGGGCCAGGGCGAAGGCGAGATGCCCCACTGCCATCAGCAGCTGGATGGCCGCGAGAGCCATGGGGCGTGGCATGCCGTGAGCCCTGTAGGAAGGCGAAGAGGGAGGGTCATAAGGATGGGACGCTTGTGCATGGAGTGAGGGTAGGTAGGTGAGGGCGAAGGCGAGGCCCCACTGCCATGAGCAGCCGGATGAATGCATGAGCCATGGGGCGTGGCATGCTGGGGGCCCTGTGTTGGAGGAAAGGGGGGTGGGGGTGGTTGGAAGGAGTGAGCAACGGGAGGCGAAGGCGAGGTGGCCCACGGCCATGAGCAGCTGGACGGATTCAAGAGCCATGGGACGTGGCATGCCGTGGGCCCTGAGGGGATGGGGGAAGGAGGGGGGACGCTTGTCCATGGAGTGAGGTGAGGCGAGGGCGAAGGCCAGGTGCCCCACGGCTATGAACAGCTGAATAGGTGCTAGAGCCATGGGGCGATGCATGCCGTGGACCCAGAGGTGCAAACCGGGGTTCACGGGCCAGTGGCTGTGAACAGGAGAAAGGTGAATCCTTCAATCCCACTCCACCTTTCCCCTCATCCCACCACACCGCCCATTCCCCCATCAAACCGCCCATCAACCCCCTCATGAAACCCCTCATGAAACCCCTCATCAAACCTCAACAACCCACCTGACAAAATGCTCCGACAGCGACCCACTGGCCAGCCGTCCAAGGAACTGCCAGATGCTGACGAGGGACGTGAGCACCTGTGCGTTGCCGTACCCCTGCGCCTCGCCGATCTGTGCCAGGTTCGTGATGGCTGTCAACCCCGCGCCAAAGCCACACACCAGCCCCCCGTACAGCAGCCAGAACTCCACCGTCGATAGCGCCTGCCCGAACGAATGGTCCTGCCCCAGATACACCCTTCCCCCTGCTGCAGCTGCCCCTCCTGCATGAGCTTGCTCGGTTGATTCATCTCCTGCCCCATCCCCCTCCTCCTCCCCCTCCTCCCCATCCTCCTCCTCTTCCTCCTCCCCGCACTCATCCTCATCCTCATCATCTCCGCCCCTGCTGTATCCCCCTTTAGGAGAGGTGATTCCAGACACTCTCGATTGGTTCTTACCATGGACTGAGGTCTCTTCTTCCCCAAAGTAGTAGCTCCAATCGTCATCCCCGCCCTCTCCCTCCCCTCCACCCACACTCGTCGCCCCTGCAACGTCACCATCCTCATTGAGGCTGCTGAGGCTCTTCTGGCTGCCACGTGGCGGCATCCAATTGGTCGTAGGGCCATAATCAGGACTCGAGCTGCTTCCTCCTGTCCCTCCTCCTCCTCGTTTTCTTACCACCTGCCTTCCCTGCCTCCCCTCCTCTCGCCCCTCTCTTTCTTTTCCCTCTCTCCCTTCCTCTCCTGTCTCTTGCTCCACCTCTTGTCTTCCCTTCAATCCACTACCACTGCACAGACTACTACTGCTGGGTATACTCTGTGCCCTTCTGCCAGCAGAGGGACTGCTAATATCAAGGATACTGGACCTGGGCTGGCTCCCCGTACCTCCGCTTCGGTTGGTTCGGGAGTCAGCAGACGTGCCCAGGAGCAGGTGCATGAGGGTCGCCGAGCCTACACTGCTATGGGTGCCGAAGCTGCTGGCTTGGGCAGCTGCAGTGATGCTGCTGCTGAGGCCTAGCTTCGGCGCATCACCAGACCTATTAGGGCTTACGAACGAAATGGCTCCTGCACCCCTCAATCCTCCTCCTCCTCGTGCTCCTCCTGCCGCTGGGGGTGATGAAATGCTTTGAGCAGCAGAGCAGGTATTCCCGCTGGAAGGAGGAGGTGGGGTGTTATACGGGGAAGTGTATTCAGGGGAGGTGGGTTTGGGGGAGGTTCTGCTGTGGCTGAGAGGGGAGAAGGCGGAGTGGTGGGGCGAGAGAGAAAGTGGTGGTGGGTGAGTGGGTGGAGGGGAGGATGGGGGGAGGACACTGGAGGCATGGAGTGTTTCTCCTTCTCTGATTGGTGGAAGCACGCTAGCTCCGGGACTGGCACTACCAGGAGCGCCCCCTGCTGCCGACGTGGCTGAAGATGATTGGAGCAGAGGCTGGGAGAGATCGGAGGAGCCCTGGGGATGTGGGTGAGTGAGAGAGGAGGGAGAGGACGAGGGGGTGGCGGAGGAAGGAGAGGGGGAGCGGGAGGGGAGGAGCACGGAAGCAGGGGCGAGGAGCAGGAGGAGCATGGTGATGGTAATGGCAGTGGTGGTGTGCGGTGAGAAGGTGGTGAAGGCCTGGGAGGTGATGACGAGGAGGAGGAAGGCGGCGAGCAGCATGCAGAGGCGCATGATGAGAGAGAAACCTGCAGTCTCCTCTGCTGCCACCTTGGGCGTTCGGGCGGCTGGGGGGACAGGGAAAAAGTGGGGGAAAGGGGAAGGGGAAGGGGTTAGAAAGAAAGAGTGACGGTGAGGCAGGAAGGCAGCGAGCAGCATGCAGAGGCGCAGGATGAGGGAGAAACCTGCAGTCTCCTCTGCTGCCACTTTGGGGGTACGGGATGCTGGGGGGTCAGGGAGAACTGAACCAATAAATGGTTCTGTACGACTTGCATGTGTTAAGCGCGGGAAATGCAGGGTTTGGAGGAATGGAAGGGGTAGGAAAGAATGAGCGGATGTGAGACTTAAGGCAGCGAGCAGCATGTGGAGGTGCAGAATGAGGGCGAAGCCTGTGCTCTCTTCTGCTGCCACCTTGGGCTTGCGGGGGGCTGGGGGTGCAGGGAGGAAAAAGGGGGGGGGAAGCGGGAGAAATGGGAAGGGAAGGCGTATGAAAGAGAGGGAGACGATCAGGTTAAAGGCGGTAAAGCAACAGCCAGAGGCGCAGCATGAGGGAGAAATTCGCACCCTCCTCTGCTGCCACCTTGGGTGTGCGGGGGGCTGGAGGGACAGGGAGGGAAAGGGACATATGGGGAGGCAGGGGGCACGCAGGGAGGAAAGAGAGAAGGTTATCAAAATAGATGAGCAGCGCGAGTGTCATGGTTTGCGGAATAAACTGGGGAGAAAAGAGGCGCGTCATAGACTGCCCTTGTTGCTTGAAAGACATTGGTGGAGAGGGGAGAAGGAGGGGGGGAAGGGGCGGGGGGAGGAGAGGGGAGGGAGGGTAAGGTGGGGAAGAAAGAGGACATACGGGGGGGGAAGAGGCGGACGATGAAGAGGCTGAGGATGCCCACAGCAGCAGGGCCAATGCAGGCCAACAGCAGAAAGGCCGGAGGGTTGGGTGCGAGCAGTGCAGAGTAGATCTGCATGGGGGAGGGGAAAGGGGGGTAGAGGGATAGAGCCGTGGCATGTTGGGAGGGAGGGAAGGAGAAGGGGCACAGGATGAAAGGCTTGAAGTTGACATTGGCAGGGGCCTCTCTTCTCCCCTCTTTCTCCCTCCCTACGCCCCCACAGCTCGTCCCTCCCTCCAACCAACCTCTTACCCCTCCCAGTAGTACCTGTGCAAAGATGGCGCCTCACAGGCCTATGAAGCCCACGAAATAGCCCACCGTAATGCTCAACAGCACCCCCCTGAGTGCCGGAAGCTGAGCTCGCCACACCAACCAACCTCCCCGGCCTTCCCTCCTTGTGAACCCCCGCATCTTCCCCCTTCCCCCACAAACCTCCCTCCGAGCCCGCACCTCCCATCCCCCTGCCCTCCCAGCAGCACCTGGGCAAAGATGGCGCCTGAGAGGCCGATGAAGCCCACGACAATCCCCGCCACTACGCCCCCCGAGTGCGGGAAGTTGAGCTGCGAGGAGACGAGGCCCGCCGTGATGAAGTAGATGGACCCGTTCGTGGCGCAGCACAGCAGACACCACACCTGCAGGGGCGGGCAATGGTGCAGTGCGGTGGAGTGTGGTGCAGTGCAGTTGAGTGCGGTTGAGTGTGGTATGTGGCGAGAGGGAATGGTAAGTTTAGCTGAGAGGAGACGAGGCTGGCTGTGATGAAGTAGATGGACCCATTGTTGGCGCAGCACAGCAGACACCACACCGGCAGGGGCGGATAGCACGGTGCAGTGCAGTGCGGTGGAGTGCAGTTGAGTGAAGTCAATACAGCCTTTGATGGCGCAGAAAAGACACCACACCTGAAGGATTGGAGTGTGAGAGGGTTCATCGTGACTTAGGGCGGTGCAGTGCGGTTGAGAGAGATAAAAAAACGGGGGCATGAGAAATTGAGCTGCGAAATAATGCAGATCAACCCTTGGTGGTGCAGCAGCAAATACACCACACCTGGAAATCCTGAGTGCGGGATAGCCTGGTTTTGTGCTGTTCAGTGTAGTATGTCGTGCTGCAACCCCACATAACATATCCGAAAGTGTTTCTTTGCTAAGATCTTGGTGGGAGGATGACCAGCATCAGGTGATGCACATGAAACAAGATAGGGGAGGATGAGAAGCAGTGCAGTGATGTGCTCTGTGCAGGGACGAGACGATGAGGCATGGGACGATGAGGCATGGGACGATGAGGCATGGGACGATGAGGCATGGGACGATGAGGTATGGGACGATGAGGCATGGGACGATGCGGTATGGGACGATGAGGCATGGGACGATGAGGCATGGGACGATGAGGTATGGGACGATGAGGCATGGGACGATGCGGTATGGGACGATGAGGCATGGGACGATGAGGCATGGGACGATGAGGTATGGGACGATGAGGCATGGGACGATGCGGTATGGGACGATGAGGCATGGGACGATGAGGTATGGGACGATGAGGTATGGGACGATGAGGCATGGGACGATGAGGCATGGGACCATGCGGTATGGGACGATGAGGTATGGCACGATGAGGCATGGGACGATGAGGCATGGGACGATGAGGTATGGGACGATGAGGCATGTGACGATGAGGTATGGGACGATGAGGTATGGGACGATGAGGCATGGGACGATGAGGTATGGGACGATGAGGCATGGGACGATGAGGCATGGGACGATGAGGTATGGGACGATGAGGCATGGGACGATGCGGCATGGGACGATGAGGCATGGGACGATGCGGTATGGGACGATGAGGCATGGGACGATGAGGCATGGGACGATGAGGCATGGGCCGATGAGGCATGGGACGATGAGACATGGGACGATGAGGCATGGGACGATGAGGCATGGGACGATGAGGCATGGGACGATGAGGTATGGGGCGATGAGGCATGGGACGATGAGGTATGGGAAGATGAGGCATGGGACGATGCGGTATGGGACGATGAGGCATGGGACGATGAGGCATGGGACGATGAGGCATGGGACGATGAGGCATGGGACGATGAGGCATGGGACGATGAGGCATGCGACGATGAGACATGGGACGATGAGGCATGGGACGATGAGGCATGGGACGATGAGGCATGGGACGATGAGGTATGGGACGATGAGGCATGGGACGCTGCGGTATGGGACGATGAGGTATGGGACGATGAGGCATGGGACGATGAGGCATGGGACGATGAGGCATGGGACGATGAGACATGGGACGATGAGGCATGGGACGATGAGGCATGGGACGATGAGGCATGGGACGATGAGGCATGGGCCGATGAGGCATGGGACGATGCGGAATGGGACGATGAGGTATGGCACGATGAGGCATGGGACGATGAGGCATGGGACGATGAGGCATGGGACGATGAGGCATGGGATGATGAGGTATGGGATGATGAGGTATGGGACGATGAGGTATGGGACGATGAGGTATGGGATGATGAGGCATGGGACGATGAGGCATGGGACGATGAGGCATGGGACGATGAGGCATGGGACGATGAGGCATGGGCCGATGAGGCATGGGACGATGAGGCATGGGACGATGAGGCATGGGACGATGAGACATGGGACGATGAGGCATGGGACGATGAGGCATGGGACGATGAGGCATGGGACGATGAGGTATGGGGCGATGAGGCATGGGGCGATGAGGCATGGGACGATGAGGCATGGGACGATGAGGCATGGGCCGATGAGGCATGGGACGATGAGGCATGGGACGATGAGGTATGGGACGATGAGACATGGGACGATGAGGCATGGGACGATGAGGCATGGGAAGATGAGGCATGGGACGATGCGGTATGGGACGATGAGGCATGGGACGATGAGGCATGGGATGATGAGGCATGGGACGATGAGGCATGGGACGATGAGGCATGCGACGATGAGACATGGGACGATGAGGCATGGGACGATGAGGCATGGGACGATGAGGCATGGGACGATGAGGTATGGGACGATGAGGCATGGGACGCTGCGGTATGGGACGATGAGGTATGGGATGATGAGGCATGGGACGATGAGGCATGGGACGATGAGGCATGGGACGATGAGACATGGGACGATGAGGCATGGGACGATGAGGCATGGGACGATGAGGCATGGGACGATGAGGCATGGGACGATGAGGCATGGGACGATGCGGAATGGGACGATGAGGTATAGCACGATGAGGCATGGGACGATGAGGCATGGGACGATGAGGCATGGGACGATGAGGTATGGGATGATGAGGCATGGGACGCTGCGGTATGGGACGATGAGGTATGGGATGATGAGGCATGGGACGATGAGGCATGGGACGATGAGGTATGGGACGATGAGACATGGGACGATGAGGCATGGGACGATGAGGCATGGGACGATGAGGCATGGGACGATGAGGCATGGGCCGATGAGGCATGGGACGATGAGGCATGGGACGATGAGGCATGGGACGATGAGGCATGGGACGATGAGGCATGGGCCGATGAGGCATGGGACGATGAGGCATGGGACGATGAGGCATGAAACGAACAGAACTGGAGCGGGAAGGGTGACCATGGAATGGATAGAACGTGGGAGAGAAACGCAAGCTGGTGCTGGTAGGTACCAATGCACAATGGGTTAGCATTGCACAGCAAAACCATCAGGTAATCGTGCAGTGACATGTGACGTTGATCAGCTCACAAACTCTGTTGGGCAGCTCACAAACTCTGTTGGGCAGCTCACAAACCCTATTGGGCAGCTCACAAACCCTCTTGGGCAGCTCACAAACCCTCTTGGGCAGCTCACAAACCCTGTTGGGCAGCTCACAAACCCTGTTGGGCAGCTCACAAACAAGCCCCATCGGGTAACCGACCTGCCAGAAGGGTGGCGCGGCTATCCTTTGACTAAGCACGAGCCACAGGCCGCCATACCCCACGAAGCCCTGCCAGGCGAGGGGAGAGGGATCACACGCGGGAGAGAGGGATGACACAGGGCACAGACGGTCGCATGGGGCAGAGAGGGTCACACGAGGCAGCGAGGGGCAGAGGCACCTAGAGGCAGGCAGGGAGGCGCGGAGGGGGGAAAGAGGCAGAAATGTTGTGGACAAGGCCACACAGATGAGCAGGCACGGACCACAGGTGAGACGAGGCCTGGAGATCGCTGCCAGGGAGAGAGGTAAGGGGATGAGGCGGTATGAAGGCGCTGGCAGCATCTGAACGTGATGGACTTACATTGCTGGTGCCATTGGGAATGGGAATAGCAATGGCAGTGGGGATGGGAACAGTGGCAATGGCTACGGCTATGGCTGTAGCTATGGCAGGGAATGGTGATGGCAATGGCAATGATATGGCCATGGCAATGTGAATGCCAATGTGAACGTGAATGGAAATGGCAATGCCAATGCCAATGTCAGTGTCAGTGTGAATGTCAACATCAATGCCATAATCAGTACCAATAACAATGTCAGTGTCAGTGTCAGTGTCAGTGTCAGTGTCAGTGCCAGTGTCAGTGTCAGTGTCAGTGTCAGTGCCAGTGTCAGTGTCAGTGTCAATGCCCAGCAGACTATTGAGCATCAATAGAGTAGTGAACGGACCAGCAGAGTGCCAACAGCAATGACGAGCCATGGCGGCACCATGTCCGCAAGCAGCCCTGCGAGTAGACCCATGTTGTCGCCCACGTCCTTGGCCACTCCCAGTGTTGTCACCGCCTGCTGGTTGTACCCCAGCACCGCCTGCACGCACACATGAGAGCAGGCAAACGGAAAGAGAGGGTCTTTCACGTGACAAAGCATGCTTACGTCCTTGACCACCCCGAGTGTTGTCACCGCCTGCTGGTTGTAACCCAGCACTTCCTGGCATTCATGGGAGCCGGCAAAAGGCACAGAAAGGGCAGCACGCTGCGTCTCACATCACAAGGGGAACGCGTTTCAGAGCATGCTTGATGTACCCCAGCACTTCCTGCACGCATACACGAGAGCAGGCAAACAGCAGCGGACTGTGTCTGACGATCATTCCGTGTGCTCACAAGCGCGTGTGTGGTCCCACACCCAGGCTGGTACCAGGTCCCACACCAGCACATCCTGTGCAGCCAGGAAAGGTACGGGGGGGATGAGAGACTGCCATGAGAGGAAACGCGAGGAGAAGGAGGTTGCGGACGGTGATATGCGGCCGGAGAATTGGCAACAGCAGCGGCATTGCGACGTGCCTTGATGGTCGGCGAGTATATGGCGAAGTTGTAACTGTTACCCGCGCACGCGAGTAACCACATGGAGCCGATGAGAGAGAGCCAGCGTCCCTTGGCGAAGCCATGCGAAAGGTTTGCTTCCGCCATGATGGTCGACGAGAATAACCTTCAATGCGTCAATGACCTGCTGACGGCCGTCAAAGCGTCAATGATCTGCTGACGGCGACCGGTAAGTCAGTGTTCTACTCCGTCACTGTCATTCGGGCTGAACTGAATACTCAGCTTCCTGCATTCTGATGAAAGCACGTCGGAAGAACCAATGACGCGGAGCCACTCATCATGTACTCAATGCAGGTGCCTTATTGTGAAATGTTTGAACCTCATGGATGGAAGAACTCCTGACATCGGCATTCTCTCTTACTATCAGCCGAACTACGGTTTCGCCTGCTTTCAGTCGTGTTTTATGAATTATCACAGGTATTTGAATTTTGTCTCACGAGAAGTTATGGTTGCATGAGTGAATGCTTAAATCCTGGAGAATGTCTTGGCGGGAAACCTTGTTGGCAAGCATTCGTCAAGGTTCTGACGTGCTGTGCCGCCGGGCACACCCTATTGGTAGAATTCCAAATTTACAATTCCCGCCTGGTTCCATGTTATTGGTGCAACTCGGCACGAGGAGCAGTTTCCTTTGTTGTCGTTAGGGACGGTCTCGGCAAAGAAATAAAACATGTCAGAATCTGTTTGTGAAGCGAGGAACATGAATAGAGATCATCATAATGGCAACAGACAATTAAAATAGCCAAAAAGTCAGAAGCAGTCAGAATGCAATCACTACCGTAGTACTACCCTATCTTCATCCATTGAGGAATAAAAGGGAACAATTAGTATTGGTACATATCAAATTCAGCATTATTCAGCATTCTTCTCGAACACATGCTTCCTGACTGCAAATCCTGCCACCCACAGGCATTCCCCCTGCATCTACAATTCACCCTATTGCCAACCTCCTTGGCATACCCACTCGTTCCCACAACAGATCCTTCCTATACTCCTCTGCAAATTCATCATCACATGCGTCCTCTCGCCCTCTTCCTTGAAGCTTGCCCTCCCTCAATGCTGCTACCAGTCTCCTCTTCCCCTTCCCCTCCAGCATAACCATTATCCAGTACTCCTGGCTCCCCAACACCACCCATCCCTCCTACCCCTGCAACTTCTCCCCCTCCAACCCCCCCAATCCCTACCACCCCTCCTACTACCCCAACAGCCTCCCCTCCCATCCCCTGCTCCACGTGCATGCCTGGGTCAAGGGCAAACATAGGCGTCTGCAGACCGTTCATCGCGGCGGCGGCTGTAAATTTCCCCACGGGCGCAATGGCTTGTTCCTTTCCCTTGCGCTTCTTCCGCCCGATGCGCACGGTGTCCATCTCCCCGTGCTTGCGCGCGAGGTTCTCGTAGTGCGCGCGCCACCGCGGCATGAGCTCCTCCCACCTCTGCCACTGCTTCCACGCGCCGGGGAACTTCAGAATAGTTATAAAATCGTCGTGCGACATTCGCTTCAAGCACGCCTGCTCCTCCTCCGTCAGGATAGCCGATACGGCGCGCACGCCGAGGTGGACAATCATATACGCTGCGGCTGCGTATCCCTTCGCAGCCTCCATCGGGTCGTCCCACGTCCCCAGCGTGTGCCGCTGGCCGTCAAAATCGATGGAGCTTTGAAACCGGCCGTATAGTACCTTCACGCCGTGAAGCCCGGTCACGAGATTCGGTCGCCGTTTCCCCGGAACAGAGTCCGTGGATTGATCGGAGGGGAGAGAATTGACGACCATTGGGAGCTTGTAGCGCTCCGCTGCTGCTCCATTTAGGACCTTTGATTTCTCGGCCTTGGGCACGGGTGTTAGTGACAGGGTTAGGGAGCCGTCGACGTTGGCTTGGTGCGGCTGCAGCGCATCGTTAGCGACTTGCGCCTCAAGCGCGTCATTGGGCGGCTGAAACCCTTCGTTCGTAGCGTGAGGCTGAAGCGCCATAGATTATGAAAGTTAGGAGGTTGTTCTGCGGTACCGAACGGCTAAAGTTGGCGGGAAGTTTCTAAAAACGGTACCACGTGGTTAATTACGACAAGACGGTTATGAGAAGGTGGAACTCGGTGATTACAAGAGCAAGGTTCTCCTACACGGTTCAGAAAGGTGGGATGCTAGATCTGTCAGAAACAACTGATAGAAGGTGAAACTCGGTGATGGCGGAAGAAAAGGGGTTTCGGACAGGTTTCACACTGCATCTGCTGGCGACAGGTGAGAGAAGGTGAAAGCCGGTGGTTGGGGAAGAGAAGGGGTTTCGTGTCCGGTGGGGAAAGATGGGGGTCCCGGAATCAACGGATGGAGAGAAATATGCGGAGGTGATAATCGACGGTTTACGAGCGACGGTTGAAGCTGAGAAGGTGCAGGTCGCTGGATCAACGGCTGCCGTTGACAGCTATCTGGAAGGTCAGGTGGTATGGTGGCGGAAGGAAGGGGGTTTTGGAAGTGGTTCAATCAGTCAAGACTAAACTCGGTGATTAGGGAAAAACAGGGGTTTCGTTTACGGTTCAGGGAGGTGCACTGCTGGACAGGTGGTGTGGGCTGGAGGAATGCAGACAAAACGTTTTATTTGGCATTCCCAAGCCTCCACACCCTCCAACGCTCGTTCGGTTCGGGCATCACCGACGGTACCCCTCTCGGGCTATTTGACGGAACTGTATGTGGGCATCTGATCTTGCGTAGTCTGTAGTACCTGTTCAACCTTTTGCACTTGCGATGTTTAGCTCTAAGAATCGTTATCTCAAGGAAACAAGGCATCAGAACAGAAACGTTCTGATTTTTCTTAGCAGGGGAAATGGCCCAAACCAAAGCTGCTTTCAAACCACCCGAACGTTTGTCAAGCCCATTTCACTAGCTAGGGAAATGGGCTTCTATACAAGCACTTTCACCAGTGAGATGCTGTTTATATTTGTTATTATACAGCAGTAGGTGTAACAGAAAGGCACACTTTTGCAAATCATCACCTAAAATCCATCCACAATGACATCATGCACTTGGAAATGCATAAAACGAACTGGCCATGCGCCTCTTCATCAATTCCTTCCCTTTCGGTCACGTTCACTTATTATCAAGCTGCTGCCTCACTGTCAGCATCGTCAGCCTCCCGTGTGAACTGAGAAAGTGAGATCCCTAGGCGCTTCTGCTCCTGCACTGCTCGTTTACTGAACGCCACTGAACCTCCATTAATTGATTTGTACGTGATAACCGCGCAACTGCACTTTTTCGCACAATGAGATGCCACATCACCTGCCAGCATATACTGGAACCAGGGAGGACATTCAAGAAAGGGGAAAAGCGGAAGATGCAGGGGAGAAGATAAGTGTGATGTTCAAGAACGCTTGACAAGAATACGACCTAAAGGCGTCCTGCGATGGATTAGCATTCACGGTTCTTGCACCATAACCGAAATTAAATGCCAAACACCCTCTCAACGACCAACATTGTGACTCGTACGGTTGAAGAGCAGTGAAGTACTTACATGTAAGGTTCGTTTTCCCTGTGATCCAAGAACGAGTATATCAGCTTTCTCTGCTTCGGCGACCTTGGGTATAACCTTCCTCGGATCGCCCTCCTCCACCTTGACGCGCGCCGCGGGGAAACCTAGTGAGTGTATGGTCTTTGCGGCGACGTTGATTGTGTCGCGGATGAACGCGTGGTGGGACTTAATCTCCGCCGCTGGATCCGCGAAGCCACTGTAGAGCGATGTAAGGTCCTTATCTGGCGAGAAATGCGAGACGGGTTGGGAATGTAAATGCAGTAAGTGTATGCGAGGAATGGGGATGGTAGGGAAAGGCAAACGAAAAGCGGCAGCATAAGGAGCACAGAAGGAAGGGGAACATGCAGGGCATCAGGGCATACCTGTAGGTCTGACATGTATTACGATCAGTTTGTCTTGATCTGAGAGTATCGACTTCAGAACGAAAAGAAGAGCCGCGTCGCTCGCGTCGCTCCCGTTAACGGCTACAATGATCGTTCTGGGTTGCGGCCCGGAGTCGGGCTGCTGCGATTCTTCCACCATCGCTGCGTCGTCGCGGTGTTAAAGAAGGCACGGGAACCACTAGTAGAGAGCTGCCGCAGTTTTCCAGGCAGGCGCGGGATTCGGGAGCTAGTCGCAGTAGAGCGCTGGGAGCACTGCTCAGCTAGCCAGCCGAGCTGGGGGAGAGACAGGAATTGCTTGCTTCCGCAGTGCTGACGTGGCGATCTCCGGCTGCAGTTGCGAGAAGAACACCAGACGTAACTAGAGCAACCGCTTGTGGGGAAGAGCCTTTTCCTTATGTTTTTAAGGCCCGGTCGAGGAACGTTTGTTCGTGGGGTAGTAGTGATACTGAGGAGAAAATTAGCATCAAGAGTCGTGAGTGAGGTGTGCTCGGGATATCCAGCTTCGACAAGAGTACTTCTACAGAAGTGAAGGGACAGAGGCGCTAGAAATAGGGCCGCAGCTACTTCAGCTAGTTCCTCGCAGGTGCGACTGGAGAGAGTGTGTGGCAGTTGGCGAAGGCACCACAGTAGGTAACCAGAGCGAAAGTTCCCCCTGTCGAGAAACGCCGGGTTTCAACGCATCGTACGTGTACATATGCAACGCCAAACAACGTCCAGTTAACACCTAACTTGCCGTACGTAGTCCGTATGGAGCACCTCCTATCCTAACGTCTGAAAATAGCCGGAATCGTCAGAAAAGGGAGGATACCGTTCATGCACTCCAAACTGCGAGGCCGTTTTGCAAAAGCGCCGGCCATGCTCGATTGGTAGGTCGACCCACCCAAGCCGAGCGGTCGGAATAAAAATCTCATCATGTTCAGTCTTTCGCGCATGAGTACGACGTGGCACGGGGAAGAAACAAGCAAAGAAGTGATCCGAGGCGGATCCGTCCAACTCCAACCGCCAATCTCTGGTGGCTTTCGCTCCGTCCCGTTTCGTCACAGATCCCTCGAACGGCCATGACTGACGCCCAGAAAACGGGCGTAGGTGCATGTCTATGGCGGCACAACGGGCTGGTCCTGGGGACGGTAGTGCTTGCCCGCAGAGTCCATCCATGTCTCGTCTCGTCTTGTCACTTCATACAGTATTCACAGATTCTGTTCCACACAGCAAGCCTTGCCGGTGGTGGGGCCTTCTTTCATGTCAACTGGTGCGAGTGGTAGATTAGTCTGTGTGAAGGTGGGGTGGGGTGGGGTGGATTTGAGTAGGGTCAGGTAGGCTTTGCTCGGTCAGGTGTGGGGTGGGTGGGGTGGGGTGATGGAGGATTCGGAGGCCCAGCTAGCTCATTGGTGGTTCTCTGTGATGGTTCGACCCGCCACGAATGGGACCTTGAATTCCGGGCAGAGGGGAGAGCAGGGAGGGACCATCGTGGAAAATTGAGTGGGAGATGTAACTGGGTGGGGGATGGAACTGGGAGGGGAATGGAATGGAATTGGGTGGGGGATGGAACTGGGTGGGGGATGGAATGGAACTGGGTGGGGGAAAGGGAAAGCGACCAGCCCGATGTGAGGGGGAATGTGGGATTGCACAAGGTGCTAATGAGATTGCTTTCTTCATTTGCTCTCTAAAAGATCCATCGCTGTAAGGGTTTCTAGTTAAAGCAGTATTAATAGAGGAAGATCCGATAAGTCATAAACAAGGGCTATATAATATTTTGTACAGAACAAAAAACTAAACTAAACAAGGAAATTGCGTATTTCCTGATAATTCATGTTTCTCTTTATCGTAGCGGTCTCAACGCATGCTCGTCGCTGCACCCGTTCTTTCCCTGTCGCTTCTGCGAGCTACGAGATGACGATCGTCGTGGGCCCACGATGCGCCTGCTGCGGCTTTGTCGCACCCCTGCTCGGCCCCCCTGCTCGTTACCCCTCGTCTCGAGCCTACGCATCTGATGCCCCTCGTCTAGACCCTCCGGTCGGTTACTCGTTTCAAAATATAATAGCAACAATTTTTGCCAGCATTTGATTGGTCAAAATTCCCTGAGGTTTCGTCTGATCAAAATCCGTGCACACGCTGAATTCTGTAGACAAGTTTGTGTCCGTGTGGATTGCATTTCAACAACGGCTAAGCCAACTCGAAACGCACTCGGTTTGGAGTGTCATGCACTGTGACTGAAGTGTCAAGTCGAAGCGCGTGAACGAATATCAGCGGCGAAATTTCATTAGTTGAAAGACTTTAATTACCGATGTGATTTGTGTATCTTCTAGGCATCGAACGATTCAACAAAACTCATATACCTGTCAGAATCCCAACAACTAGACCATTGGGATAAAAGGGCTTGTTAAGTAGCGGTCAGTGTGTCAGAATACAGAACGAGAATGGATGAACTATGAATGAGTTGGGTACAAGTACTAACCTTAATTGGGTTGTACCCATTATGGGCTACCCCACTACAGTCTACACAATATAAGCATTATAACATTTTGACACACCCCGATAGGCAAAGTGGGGAAGAACAAGTGGTCATAAGACCACTCAAGAAAAGCAAAGCATGCTCAGGGTGGATCACGAAGTCACCACACATTCCGAGCACAAGCAAATGGCCACAAGACCAGTTCCCATGCAGAGTTATATAAAAGAGAACAAAAAACAGTACAGTGATCATA